CAACATAATGAGACTCCTGTCTGCAAAAAATTAAAAAGCCAGGCATGGAGGCACACACCTGTAGTCCCAGCTACTCTGGTGGCTGAGGTGGGTGGATCGCTTGAACCCAGGAGTTTGAGGCTGCAGTGAGCCAGGACTGCACCACTGCATTTCAGCCTGGGTGCCAGAGCAAGGCACTCTTCAAAACAAAAAAAACCCACGAAGAACCCTTCTGTTGTTATCTGATATTATAAATGTAGTAAGTGAGCAGCAATTCCAGTAGCTTAAAGTGCAGAGAGTTGGCAGTCAAGCTATTTTGTCTGCCATGATTGTGCAGCCCTCAGTGTTGGTTAGACAGTCATTTTGGGACCATCTCTGTGATTTTGGCCATGTCTGCCTGTCAATACTAAGCTTTACTTACTATGTCTCCTTAAGTCTACTTTAAATTGACTTCTTGGCCAGGTAGAGTGTCTCATGCCTGTAATCCCAGCACTTTGGCAGGCCGAGAGATAGGTGGATCATTTGAGCTCAGGAGTTCAAGACTGGCCTTGGCAACATGGTGAAACCCCCCCCTCTAAAAAATACAAAAATTAGCTGGGTGTGGTGATGCATGCCTGTAGTCTCAGCTACTCAGGAGGCTGAGGTGGGAGGATGTCTTGAGCCCAAGAGATAGAGGTTGGAGTGAGCTGAGTTTGCGCCACTGTACTCCAGCGTGGGTGATAGAGCCAGACCTTGTCTTAAATTAATTAATTAATAGACTTCTTAAGCTTAGCCTCCTTCTAAACAAGAATTCGTTAAAATATAGATTTATTGTTTTAAAGTATGCATTAAATACATAATTACTAAAATTAATATGTCCTTTTCACTACCTACAAACATCTTTAGTACCAGTGACACATACTCACACTTAGGGAAATAGTTTTTTATTCATTCCTTAGGCCCCACTGGTAGTAGTTTTTTGTAAACTTCTCCTAAATCCACAGCTACTAGGTGGCTCTGAATTTCTTCCTTTTTTTTTTTTGGAGAGAGAGTTTCACTCTGTCACCTAGGGTGGCTGGAGTGCAGTGGTGCTATCTTGGCTCACTGCCACCTCTACCTCCTGGGTTCAAGCAATTCTCCTCCCTCAGCCTCTGGAGTACCTGGGATTGCAGGCCCCTACCACCATGCCTGGCTGGTTTTCGTATTTTTAGTAGAGACAGGGTTTCACCATGTTGGACCAGGCTGTCTCAAACTCCTGACCTCAGGTGATCTGCCCACCTTGGCCTCCCAAAGTGCTGGGATTACAGGCATGAGCCACCACACCCGGCCTGAATGAATTTCTTTCTTGCTTTCTTGCCCCTCCCCTCCCCTCCCCTCCCCTCATTCCTTTTTTTCCTTTCCTCTGTCCTTTTCTTTCCTTACAGGGTCTTGCTATGTTGGCAAAGTTGGTCTTGAACACCTGACCTCAAGCAATCCTCCCATCTCAGCCTCTTTAAGTGCTAGGATTACAGGCGTGAATGCTGTGCCTGGGCTGAATTTCAAATTAGTTAATTAATTTTGTGTTTTGGTAGATAAACTCTGATAGGGAAGGTATAATACTAGTTAGTGCTTAATTTTGAACTATAGAATTAATTGCTTCTAAAATTTTGAGTTATTGCTAATGATCTGCAAAGCACAAAGATCTTTTTTTGAGCTTATCTCTAGGATCTGTTGGGTAATATGCTGAACCTTCATATGCCTTCATTTCCTTCTTTTTTTTTTGAGACAATCTTGCTCTGCCACCCAGGCTGAAGTGCAGTGGTGTGATCACAGCTCACTGCAGCTTCTGCCGCCTGGGTTCAGGCAGTTCTCCCTTAGCCTGTGGAGAAGCTGGGACCACAGGGTGTGCCACCATGCCTGGCTAATTTTTTTTTTTTTTTTTGTATTTTTAGTAGAGACGAAGCTTCACTATGTTGGCCAGGCTGGTCTTGAATTCCTGACCTCAAGTGATCCACCTGCCTTGGCCTCCCAAAGTGCTGGGATTACAGGTGTGAGTCACTGAACCTCGCCATTTCCTTCTTTTTAAAATGGAGCAGTATTATTTATATCATAGAGATGTTCTGAAGATTAAATAATACATATAGAAAGCTTAGCGGTGGCAAACACACTTTTTACTATTGATAGACGTTTGATTTCCACTTTTGGACTGTTTTGAGTAAAGCTGATATGAACTTTCTGTTTTTGAGATAGAGTCTTGCAATATTGTCCATGTTGGTCTTGAACTCCTGGGCTCAAGTAATCTTCCTGCCTCAGCCCTCCAAGTAGCTGGGACTACACATGTGAGCTACCATGCCTAACTCTACATTTTTGTATATATATTTTTTGGTGGACATAGGCATTCATTTCTCTTAGGTGTATACCTAGGAGAACTGCCAGATCACAGATACACTTAATTTCTGTAAATACTGCCAAACAGTTTTTTGAGGTGGCTATAGTATTTTGTGCTCCTATCAGAAGGTGTGAAAATTCCAGTTGCTCCATACCCTGTCCCATAGTTGATATTGTCAGTCTTTTAAATTTTAGCCATTCTGATGGGCAGGCAGTGGTATTTTATTGTGGTTTTAATTTACATTTCACTGTTAAGTAATGATATGGAAGCTCCTTTTTTTTTTGAGATGGAATCTTGCTCTGTTGCCCAGGCTGGAGTCCAGTGGCATGATCTCGGCTCACTGCAACCTCTGCCTCCTGGGCTCAAGTGATTCTCCTGCCTCAGCCTCCTGAGTAGCTGGGATTATAGGTGCATGTCACCACGTCCAGCTAATTTTTGTATTTTTAGTAGAGATGGTGTTTCACCATGTTGGTCAGGCTGGTTCCAAACTCCTGACCTCGTGATCCACCCGTCTTGGCCTCTCAAAGTGCTGAGATTACAGGCATGAGCCACCCCACTCGGCTGGAAGCACCTTTTAATAGGATTTGTATATCTTTTTTTGTGTGTGTGTGAAGTGCCTGTTTACAGTCTTTTATTCATCATTATTATTTTAAAACTTGTAATGTTCATTTTTTTCTTATGGATTGCCATGTTGATGCTGGATGCGGGTCCTTTGGAAATAGATATTGTGAATACTCTTTCCTAGCCTATGGCTTGCACTTTTACTTATTGAAGTCTTTAAGTGAACAAAAATTTAATTCCAATGAAGTCTGTGTTGTCACTTTTTCTTTTATGATTAGTACTTTTTTTTTTTTTTTTTTTTGAGACAGAGTCTTATCTGTCGTCCAAATAGGAGTGCAATGGCATGATCTTGGCTCACTGCAACCTTTGCCTCCCAGGTTCAAGTTATTCTCATGCCTCAGCTCCTGGGTAGCTGGGACTTACAGGTGTGCACCACCACCGCTGACTAATTTTTGTATTTTTTGGTAGAGATGGGGTTTGGACATGTTGGCCAGGCTCATCTTGAACTCCTGACCTCAAGTGATCAACCCACCTCAGCCTCTCAAAGTGCCGGGATTACAGGGGTGAGCCACTGTGCCTGGCCTTTTTATGGTTAGTACTTTTGTGTTCATTTTGTTTTGTTTTGTTTTGTCACCTAGGCTGGAGTACAGTGGTGCGATCATAACTCATTGTAACCTCAAAACCCTGGGTTCAAGCAGTCTTCCTGCCTTAGCTTCCCAAGTAGCTAGGACTATAGGTGTACACCACTACAGGAGTGCAATGGCGCAATCTCAGCTCACTACAACCTCCGCCACCCGGGTTCAAGTGATTCTTCTGTCTCAGCCTCCCAAGTAGCTGGGATTATAGATGCCTGCACCCAGCTAATTTTTGTATTTTTTAGTAGAGACAGGGTTTTGCCATGTTGGCCAGTCTCGAACTACTGACCTCAGGTGATCCACTCGCTTTGGCCTCCTGAAGTGCTGGAGTTACAGGCATAAGCCACCACACCCACCATTTTTTTTTTTTTTTGAGACGGAGTTTCACTCTTGTTACCCAGGCTGGAGTGCAATGGCGCGATCTCGGCTCACCGCAACCTCCTCCTCCTGGGCTCAGGCAATTCTCCTGCCTCAGCCTCCTGAGTAGCTGGGATTACAGGCACGTGCCACCATGCCCAGCTAATTTTTTGCACTTTTAGTAGAGACGGGGTTTCACCATGTTGACCAGGATGGTCTTGATCTCTCGACCTCGTGATCCACCCGCCTCGGCCTCCCAAAGTGCTGGGATTACAGGCTTGAGCCACCGTGCCTGGCGCTTTTTTTTTTTTTTGAGATGGAGTCTTGCACTGTCATCCAGGCTGTAGTGCTGTGGCACGATCTCAGCTCACTGCAGTCTCCACCTCCTGGGTTCAACCAATTTTCCTGCCTCAGCCTCCTGAGTAGCTGGGGTGTGCTGCCATGCCCAGCTAATTTTTTTATTTTTTTATTTTTAGTAGAGACGGGGTTTCACCATGTTGGCCAGGATGGTCTTGATCTCTTGACCTTGTGATCCACCCACCTCGACCTCCCAAAGTGCTGGGATTATAGGCACGAGCCACTGCGCCTGCCTGTTTTTTTTTTTTATTTTTTTTATTTGAGATGGAGTTTTGCTCTTGTTGCCCAGACTGGAGTATAATGACATGATCTCAGCTCACTGCAACCTCCACCTACTGGGTTCAAGCGATTCTCCTGCCTCAGCCTCCTGAGAAGCTGGGGTTACAGGCATGCGCCACCACGTCTGACCAATTTTGTATTTTGAGTAGAGACTGGGTTTCACCATGTTGGCTATGCTGGTCTCAATCTCCCAACCTCAGGTGATCTGCCTGCCTTGGCCTTCCAAAGTGCTGGGATTACGGGTGTGAGCTATCTCACCCGGCTGCTAATTTTTTTAATTTTGTAGAACTGGGTTTCACTGTTTCCCAGGGTAGTCTCAAACTCCTAGCCTCAAGTAATCCTGCTTTGGTTTCCCAAAATGCTGAGATAATAGGCATGAGCCACTGAGCCCAGCTCTGTGCCCTGCCTAAGAATTTTTTGTTTCCTCACATTCAAAAATATATTTTAAAAATTTGACACTAATTTGTTTCTCTACATGAACATAGGTGATGCCATGGAGAGCAGCAAGCCTGAACCAGTGCAGGTTGTTTTGGTTCAGAAAGAACAACATTCCTTTGAGCTAGATGAGAAAGCCTTGGCCAGCATCCTCTTGCAGGACCACATCCGAGATCTTGATGTGGTGGTGGTTTCAGTGGCTGGTGCCTTCCGAAAGGGCAAGTCTTTCATTCTGGATTTTATGCTACGATACTTATATTCTCAGGTAAGATAGAATTATTTTATTTCAGGTAAAAAGTGAGACTTTAATGTTCAAAAAAGCGAAATAAGCTCATAGATTATCCTTGATGCATAAAATTTTCAATTAAAATTTAATGGAAATTTCTTACTTCTCCTGTAGAAGGAAAGTGGCCGTTCAAATTGGTTGGGTGACCCAGAAGAACCGTTAACAGGATTTTCATGGAGAGGGGGTTCTGATCCAGAAACCACTGGGATTCAGATCTGGAGTGAAGTTTTCACTGTGGTGAAGCCAGGTGGGAAGAAGGTAAGGATGAAAATGACATACAGGTGAACAAAAACAGCTACAAAATATGAACTTGGGCATGTACTGTGTTAATCCAGTTAAAATATCTTTTATCACAGAATTTAAAGTAAAGTAAGAATTAATGTTAAAAGTCTCTGTTTTGTCCTGAAATTTCAGACTGTTGTGGATAAATAGGATTTTCTGACACAGATATGAGAAGTTATAGCTCCGATGTTTAGCTGTAGTCTCCTTGGTCTGCTGATTGCATTATTAATTTTTTGGAAAAGCATTTTTGCTAAAAGCTGTGCAGACTTTTTCCTTTTTGCTTAGCAGTACTTTATGTTGTATTGCTTAGAGCCATGTAGGATTTTAAGATTCAATTAAAACATTATTAATCTGTTGCTGACTCTATTAATTCCTATTTCAACATGTTTTTCCTTGAATAATTCAGGTTACAACTTCTTGTGTATGACAGCTTTCCTTCACACACTATTTTTGTGGGTGTGTGTGTATCCAACGTAGGGAGAATTTAAAAAACATGTAGCTTTTTAATTTGTTTGAAACAAACTGTTTCTGCCTGTTCTGCCTGTTACATTTTGTGTTCTGTACCAACTAAAGAAGCCAATGGCATTTTGAGTTTTATATTGTGTTTTCCACTGGTATATACCTGTTGATTTGTTTGTGCTTTTTATTAACTGCAATTTTCTGAAATTTTTTTAGTAAAAGATGTGAAAACAAAAACCTTTTATCAAAGCGAATAATTTAAACATATTGATTGTCTTTAAGATTCTTAAAAAATGTATGAATATAGTTTGAAAGGTCATACTGAAAGTCTTCTAACAGAAAGCAGCTGTCATTTGTGTTACTCTCCCCTCTGCCTCGTTTTCACTTCCCAGAGGCTGATGTTCTTACCTGTTATCACTTCTGTTCTTTAATTCCTTACTCCTGTGTGAGTGGCACAGACCTGGCCGCTGTTGTTCTGGGAGTTGAGCAGGAAAATGACATTGGCGATCTCACTGTTCAGAAAGTGGACATTCACTACCCCCCAGCGATCATTAGGGCTTCTTATTCCCAGTCTCATCCATGCCAGATAAGATATGGCCATAGAGCCTCTCCACAGATTTCTCTGTAAGGGTTGGGAGGAGTAAGTCATGTGTTTCTTTCTTTTTTCAAGATAGAGTCTTGCTCTGTCACCCAGGCTGGAGTGCAGTGGCACGATCTTGGCTCACCGCAACCTCTGCTTCCTGGGTTCAAGTGATTCTCTTGCTTTAGCCTCCTGCGTAGCTGGGATTACAGGCGCATGCTGCCACGCCCAGCTAATTTTTGTATTTTTAGTAGAGATGGGGTTTCACCACATTGGTCAGGCTGGTCTCGAACTCCTGACCTCATGATCCGTTCACCTTGGCCTCCCAAAAAGTTCTGGGATTACAGGAGTGAGCCACCACACACGGCTGTCATGTGTTTCTTATACAGACTTCTTTCATCCATTTCATCTGTTTTAACTCCATCCTACAAGTATGCTTTCACAGCTATTTGTGCTTTTTTTTTTTTTTTTTTTTTTTTTTTTTTGAGATGGAGTCCCGCTCTGTCACTCAGGCTGGTGTGCAATGGTGCAATCTCAGTTCACTGCAATCTCCACCTCCACCTCCCGGATTTAGGGAATTCTTCTGCCTCAACCTCCCGAGTAGTTGGGATTACAAGCACGCACCACCATGTTTAGCTAATTTTTATATTTGTAGTAGACATGGGGTTTCACCATCTTGGCCAGGCTGGTCTTGAACTCCTGACCTCAGGTGATCCTCGGCCTCTTGAAGTGCTGGGATTACAGGCGTGAGCCACTGCACCTGGCCAGGAACTTTTTAGGAAAAAGAGAATAGGTCAGGTGTGGTGGCTCATGCCTGTAATCCCAGCACTTTGGGAAGCTGAGGTGGGAGAATCACTTGAGGCCAAGCGTTTGAGACCAGCCTGTGCAACATAGTGAGACCCGCATCTCTACTGATGATGCTGAGTGTGATGGCACTCACACACAAAATAAGCTGAGTGTGATGGCACTCACCTGTAATCCCAGCTACTTGGGAAGGCTGAGTTGGGAGGATGACTTGAGGCCAGGAGGTCAAGATTGAGACTCTGTCTCAAAAAAAAAAAAAAAAGAAAAGAAAAGAAAAAAGGAGGATATAGGATAATAGGGAGTTATAATATTGAAATTTTTAATTTTTTTTTTGAGACAAAGTCTCATTCTTGTTGTCCAGGCTAGAGTGCAGTGGTGCAATCTTGGCTACTGCAACCTCCGCCTCCTGGGTTCAAGTCATTCTCCTACCTCAGCCTCCCAAGTAGCTGGGATTACAGGCATATGCCACCACACCTGGCTATTTTTTGTATTTTTAGTAGAGAGAGGGTTTCACCATCTTGGCCACGCTGGTCTTAAACTCCTGACCTCGTGATCCACCCATCTTGGCCTCCCAAAGTTCTGGGATTACAGGCATGAGCCACTGCGTCCGGCCTAGTCTTTTAATTTTTAAAATAATTTTTATTGAGATAAAATTGACATTCCGTTTCTTTCCTCCCAGCTTTTGTGCCATGGTCACTTATTTTTATTTTATTTTTTGAGGCAAGGTCTCCTCTGTCTCCCAGACTGGAGCACAGTGACATGATCATGGCTCACTATAGCCTAAATTTCCCAGGCTCAGGTGATCTTCCCACCTCAGCCTCCTGAACAGCTGGAACTACAGGCATTGATCCACTATGCCCAGCTAATTTTTTATATTTTTTATAGAGATGGAGTTTTGCCATGTTGCCCAGTCTGGAACAGTCAGTTATCTTAAAGACATTTAAATTAAAGAGTCATGTGTTACCCATGTAGTTACCATTAGCCTTGCTCTTTATTTTTCAATTTGTCTGGTGTCATTTTTCCTTCAGCCTGAAGGATTTCCTTTTATATTTTGAAGCACTGATTTGTTGGTACTGAATTCTTTTAGCCTTCATACATCTGAAAAATCTTTATTTTGCCTTTTTTTGGGAAAATATTTACTCTGAGTACAGAATTCTAGGCCGACATATTTTTCTCAGTACTTTAAAGGGGTTGCCCCATTGCATTTTTGCTGACATTGCTTCTTTTTTTTTTTTTTTTTTTTTTTTGAGACGGAGTTTCGCTCTTGTTACCCAGGTTGGAGTGCAATGGCACGATCTCGGCTCACCGCAACCTCCACCTCCTGGGTTCAGGCAATTCTCCTGCCTCAGCCTCCTGAGTAGCTGGGATTACAGGCACGCGCCACCATGCCCAGCTAATTTTTTGTATTTTTAGTAGAGATGGGGTTTCACCATGTTGACCAGGATGGTCTCGATCTCTCGACCTCGTGATCCGCCTGCCTCGGCCTCCCAAAGTGCTGGGATTACAGGCTTGAGCCACCGCGCCCGGCCTTTTTTTTTTTTGAGATGGAGTCTGCTCTGTTGCTTAGGCTAGAGAGCAGTGACACAATCTTGACTCACTGCACCCTCTGCCTCCTGGGTTCAAGCAATTTTCCTGTCTCAGCCTTCCAAGTAGCTGGGACTATAGGCGCATGCCACCACACTCAGCTAATTTTTGTATTTTTAGTAGAGATGGGGGTTTCACCATATTGGTTAGGCTGGTCTCGATCTCCTGACTTCCAAGTTATCCACCTGCCTTGGCCTCCCAAAGTGCTGGGATTACAGGCATGAGCCACTGTGACCAGCCTGCTAACATCGTTTCTGACAAGAAATACACTGTTATTTTTATTTTTGTTCTGTCGTACCTAATACAACTTTTTGGTCTGGTTGTTTTTTTTTAATTAAAAAATTTTTTTTTGTTGGTACATAGGTATATATATTTATGGGATATGTCTGGTTGCTTTTAAGATTTTCTCTTGGCCAGGCATGGTGGCTTACACCTGTAATTCCAGCAGTTTGGGAGGCCAAGGTGGGTGGATCACTTGAGGTCAGGAGTTCGAAACCAGCCTGTCCAACATGGCAAAACCCCGTCTCTACTAAAAATACAAAATTAGCTGGGCACGGTGGTGCATGCCTGTAATCCCAGCTACTTGGGAGGCTGAGGCAGGAGAATCGCTTGAACCTGAGAGGCATAGGTTGTAGTGAGCCAAGATCGTGCTATTGCACTCCAGCCTGGGCAACAAGAGCAAAACTCTATCTAAAAAAAAAAAAAAAAAGATCTTCTGTTTATCACTGTTTTTGAGCAAATTGTGATGTGTTTTGGTGTAGTTCATCTTACTAGTGTGTGGGTTTTGTTGAGCTTCTTGAATTTGCAGACATATAATTTTTATCAAATTTGGACTTTTTTTTTTTTTTTTTGAGATGGAGTCTCGCTTTGTTGCCCAGGCTGGAGTGTAGTGGCTCAGTCTCGGCTCATTGTAACATCTGCCTACTGGGTTCAAGCAATTCTCCTGCCTCAACCTCCTGAGTAGCTGGAATTACAGGCGCACGCCTCCATGCCTGGCTAATGTTTTGCTGTTTTAGTAGAGACAGAGTTTCACTGTGTTGCCCAGGCTGGTCTTGAACTCCTGAGCTCAGGCAATCACCCCCCCATCATTCTTCCAAAGTGCTAGGATTAAAGGCGTGAGCCACCATGCATGGCCAAATTTGGACACTTTTGAGGTTATTTCTTCAAATTTGGTCTCTTACTCCCTTTGGAGACTCCTATTGCATGCGTATCTCACTGCTTAAAGTTGTTCTACAGCTTGTTGATGCTTTGTTCATTTAAAAAAATTACTGGGCCGGGCATGGTGGTGCACACCTGTAATCCCAGCACTTTTGGAGGTCAAGGTGGGTGGATCACCTGAGGTCAGGAGTTCCAGACCAGCCTGACCAACATCGTGAAACCCCCATCTCTACTAAATACAGAAAATTAGCCAGGTGTGGTGGCACATGCCTGTAATCCCAGCTACTTGGGAGGCTGAGGCAGGAGAATTACTTGAACCCAGGAGGTGGAGGTTGCAGTGAGTTGAGATCACGTCACTGCACTCTGGCCTGGGCAACAAGAGCAAAACTCC